TCTGTCTCTCTCTGTCTGTCTGGCGAGCGCATGCGCCCTATAGCAAAAACCTCTCCAAAAAAAAAAATTGCCATATGGTGTGTGCACTCCCCAGAGACATTGACAGAGAGCAAAAGTCAGAAATCACCCTCTGGGGGGTTGGGAGATGGCTATACAGCAATCCCTTCTCCTCCATTCTCCTCTTGGGATTTTGGTCATTCATTCATATGCACCCAGTGTGTTTTATAAGCTGCTAGCTATAGGACTCAACTGTGAAGTCGCCCATGTGGGATCCAGTGCCTTAATCATCACCTGGTAGCCCGAAATGTCTTGAAATGTATGAAATACAAAGGATAAGATTGTGGGACCAGCAGTTAGCGTAATGGTTATGTCGCTGGACTCCCATGTAGTCGACCATGGTTTGAGTCCTGGACCCGGTGGCTTAAACTCACGCCAGATGTGAGTGTGTGTGTACCCAAGATCTTGAGAGGAGAATAGAAGAGAAGGGATTATGGTGTGGCCATCCCCCCTGGGGGGGGGGTGATTTCTCGCTTTCTGTCTCTCTGTCTCTCTCTGTCTTTCTGGTGAGCACATGCACCCTATAGAAAAAACCTCTAAAAAAAAAAAAAGGATAAGATTGAAAACACCTACAGAATTTTGCAAAATCTTTCTGAAAATCCGTCCTGGCGTTGACAAATGCACATCCTCTCTCAGTTCCGACGACAAACACATCTGTTTCATACACTGCGATGCAGGCCACTTCTGCCTTGGACTTGGCCAGTTCTTTACACTGAAATAGAGACCAAAAAATCATGCATTATATACAAGGCAGACCCCAGCTCGTGGGGCCTGAGAGGTCTCCTTCAAGAAAGGAGTACAGGGCCAGCAGATGGTGCAGAGGTTAAGGTGGCTGAATCTCACTTGGCCAACTTCGGCTTGAAAAAAATCACACAGGGTGCACGTGTGTGCATGCTCCAAATCCCAACAGGATGTAGAAACGGAGAAAAGATGGCAGTGTGACCATGCCCCAGGGGGGTGCTTTATCCCTCTGTCTCTCTTTGGCAGGAGACAGGCCCTCTGGAAAAAATTTTTTTTAACAAGTAAAACGTAACACTGATGTGTTTCACAACTACGTCATTTCAACAATAACACAGCTATGAATGCTTCGAGAACAGCAAAGTCCTCTCACCATGGACTCGAGAGCAGACATGAGGAATGTCACCACCATCCTGCTCTCTGAGGACTCCTCATCTTCCACGGGCAGGGTGGCCATCGCTACTTGGGCCATGATCCCTGTGCAAGAGAATGAGAAAGTGAATGACAGAAATCCACCGTGTCCTTCTAGTTACATATCTAGAGCATGAAGGTTCTCACAGATGATCTGGTTCAAACCTTCCCCTACAGATGAAGAAACTGACAAAGACATTAAAAGGTGCCAGCCCCACAGCCTAGTGGCTAAGGGAGCCGGATAGCTCATGGCCAACCACCGTCTGAATCTCTGCACTAGCAGCTTGCAAAACACAAGGAGCAGACACACGTGTGTCCCAAATCCTCACGTGCCAAGAGGCCCCCAAGAACAGGTCCCCATATCATGTTCATGCCTAAGTCAAATGGTCCAGCAGAATGGTGGAAAATGCCTATTATATTTAAATAGCTAATATTTCAAATAGTTTGTGGAAGACTGGAATTAAAGTACAGGTTTATTTTGGTGCAAAAAAAAAAATGATATCCATGCATAATCTTTCATAATACACATTTCCCATGAACTGTTTTTTAGTTTACTAAATTAATTTATTTTATGGATGATAGAGAGTGTGTGCCTAACACAGTCCCCCTTCCCTAGCCCTCTAGGATCTTAGGTATAAGCACACACTCCCAGCATGTTTTCAGGTTGGCCCAGGGATCTGAACCAGTGGTTGGCCATGTGGCTTTCAGTGCTGGAATTCAGTTTGTTACCAACTATACTACCAGGCTGAAATGTCCATGAACTTTATGAAGACCCCTTGGCTTTCTCTCATTTCAGTTTTTCAGATAACCATGGTTAAACTCTAAGTGAAAAGTAGACACAGTATGATGTCACTGGATCAATTATTTCACATAATTCTTTATATAGAGAAAATTCAGCAAAGACTTCCACTAAAACACAAAAGTAAATTGCTCAATAATTTACTAGGGCCCGTGGTTAAGATAGAGTTTTCTTTTTAATTATACTACAGGAATCTCTAAGAAGACTGTGGTGTCAAGACTCTGGTTTTAACAAAGAGTAAAATAATGGGCAGGATGAAACCAGGTGGAACTCAGAAAAGACAGTATCAGTTGGCACCAACTATGCTATCAGCAATAAAAAAAAAAATTTAAGGAGGCCAGCCGGTGGCATGGTGGTTAAGGCGCTGGACTCCCACATGGTCAACCGTGATTCAAGTCCTAGACCTGGCAGCTTGTTTTCTGGGGTCAGCAGGTGGCGTGGTGATTAATTAAGGGTGCTAGACTCTCGCATGGCAGTTGACCTTCTCACTTTCCTTTTCCTCTCTATCTATCTCTTTCTGGTCAAATTAAAATAAATAAATAAAGTTAAATAAAATAATTCTTTTTTTTGGAAGTTATTTTTGCTATAGGGCGTGTGTGCTTGCCAGACAGACAGAGAGAGAGAGAAAGTGAGAAATCACCCCCCAGGGGGGATGGCCACGCCACAATCCCTTCTCCTCCATTCTCCTCTTGGGATCTTGGGCACACACGCACACGCGCCCGGCGTGAGTTTAAGCCACCAGGTCCAGGACTCGAACCGTGGTCAACCACGTGGGAGTCCAGCGACATAGTCATTATGCTAACTGCTGGTCCCAATAAAATAATTCTTTAAAAAAATTTTTTAAATGAGTGTTTCATAGTTACTAAGCTCTGTTCCTAACTTTATGTAACAAGTGGAGGCAGGAAACTTGTCTTTTATGTTTTATAATTTGGAACACGCCACGCAGTAACAGAACACTGAAAGTGATGAAACATGATTTTAAACTAACAGTGCTTCCCATCTCAGGAACATTTTCTGGAGAAAAAGTCAATACAGGGGGGACCAGCAGTTAGCATAATGGCTATGTCACTGGACTCCCATGTAGTTGACCACAGTTCAGTCCCAGAGCCGGTGGCTTAAACTCACTCCGGGCACATGTGCGTGCGTGCCCAAGATTCCCAGAGGAGAATGGAAGAGAAGGGATTGCAGCATGGCCATCCCCCTGGAGAGTAATTTCTCGCTTTCTGTCTCTGTGTCTCTCTCTGTCTTTCTGGCAAGTGCACACGCTCTATAGCAAAAACCTCTCAAAAAAAAGAAAGAAAGAAAGAAAGAGAGAAATAAAAGAAAAGAAAAGAGAAAGTCGATGCATTCTAGTAAAGCTGAACATTTCCAAAGCCTTTCTGGTGACTGACTCCTTTTCAGTTCACATCTAAAGTACCAGCAATGTTCCTTGCGGTGATAGATTTGTATGGACATTTTTGGTCTTTTAAAATGAAATACTGGGGGGCTGGCAAGTGGCATGGTGGCTAACAGTGTTGGACTCCCACATCGCCAACTGCAGTTTGAGTCCTGGGCCTGGTGACTTGCTTTTTCGCCACCCCCCCCCCCAACACCCCCAACCACCTCGTTCATTTCCTCTCTGGTCA